AAAAGAGGTTATTGAAAGTTATTTTTTTCTTAAAGTCATATAAATGACAAATTGAAACATTTAAATATTAATGCATTTTGATGATTGGACGAGCTAGATACCAACTTAACTTTGTGGAAGGATATGATAAAAGAACTAATAATAAAAATCATCTGTTTTCTCACATATAAATTTTATATTATTTGCAGTGAGGGGCCATAAAATTATTCTCAATAATATCTTAAAGACAGAATATCAACTTTTAAAAAGGGGAAAATTGTCACATGCTAAAAGATGGAAGGATCTTAAAGACATTATGTCAAATAAAATAATCCAGTCATGAAAAGAAAAACACTATATATTTCACTTATACAGGTACCTAGGTGTTTTCCACAAGCTGAGAAGAGAAGGGAATGGGAATTATTGTTTAATGGGTACTGAGTTTCAATGTGGGAAGATGAGAATGTTCTAGAAATGAATGGTGGTAATGGCTATACAACAGTGAGAATATACTTAATGCTACTGAACTGTACAGTTAAAATGGCTAAGATAGTACATTTTATGTTATATCTATTTTACCATAATAAAAAATATTGCAGAAATAAAAAGTAGCTATAGGTCCATTTTAATTACCTGTTTCTCTTTACGTGGGTTTTAATAGTTTGGGTCTTTCATGGAATTGGTCCAATTGATATATGTTATCAGATTTGTGGGCAAATCATTATTTATAATATTCTATTATCTTTTTAATATCCATGAGGTAAGATATGATCTCACTTTTATTTTTCATATTCAACATTTGTGTCTTCTCTCTTTTTACCTGTTTAGCTCAGCCAGATATTTACCAATTTTATTGATCTTTTCAAATAACCAACTTTTGTTTTATTGATTTTCTCTGTTGATTTTCTATTTCCAAGTGTATTGATTTGTCATGGAATTGATTCTATTTTTTTTCTTAGAACCAATTTAGTTCTATGTTGCTGTTGTTTTGTGTTTTAAAGTGAAAAGTAATGTCACAGATTTTACATTTTTTGCTGCTTCTAATGTTTGCATTCATGCTGTAAATTTATCTCTAAGCATTACTCTTGCTGCATCCTACAAATTTTAGTAATATGTATTTTCATTTTCCATAATGCCTAATTAAATTTGATAAAAACAAGATAATATTTTTTTACACGATACAGGTTAAATTATTTCAGTTATGTCAAATTGTTGACAACTCTTTTCATCCTAGGGTCAGTTAGAAACATGAGCATTTGAGAAGTTCATAGCCCTGTTGGGCTGGTACTAGAAGCTCTCTTTCTCTTTCTTTTTGGTTTCTTGTACAACAGATTCTCTGCCTCTAAAGACAGACAACTTTTTACTTAACTGTTTAAGGAGATCTGGACTTTAAGTGGACTTTAGTTTTAATGGACAAGTCAAGATGTACTCAATTTAATAATTATTCATTGAGTAGATAGCTCTTAAGGGGTGCCAATTTTCTAACTTGGCTCTACTCTACAGTTTGATTTGTGGGTAAAACTGAGAAAGCTGTTTTGATAAAGACAATCTCAATCTCCTCCAAGTTTTTGAAGACCCACTGTGTCTCAGGCACTGCATTTGACCCTCTGAAGACTGTAGTGCTGACAGAAGTAATTCCCACTCAGGAAATTCACATTAGAGTAGTGGGTTCATTTAACAGATAACTACATACCATGAGATGGAAGTCAAAAAAGTTACACAGGAGGTAAAAAATAAGATAGTATAGAAATTCAGAGGAGAGACAATGAGTTCCTCTTAGGGATATTAGGAAAGTCTTCACACAGGGGTGGGCAGTTCTGCTGAGCTTTGAAAATCACTCAGAACCTGAATATGTATAGTAAGTGAAAGGCATTTCTACCTTTGAAAAAACATGGTGTCAGAAAAGCATGACAGATGTGCAGGGAACAATGAACAGGTCAGTTTGGTTAAAGGAAGACGAGAGGGAATACTATTGGAAATGTAGCTTGGGACCCTGTTTTTCCTGAAGCTAAAACATAACAAAGGTGAGAGTAGGTAAACTCTATGCCATGAGCATTAGGGAATTGTACAGGACTAGACTAAAAAGCTATCATGAGCATCAAGTTGTGCTGTAGGAATCCGTGATCAAGAGTATTGGAGAGACATGATGGGAAGATTTCTCCAAAGTTATGATGGTGATGTAAGTGGGAATGTTGGAGGTGGTTTCAACAAGACTTGACAACACATTGGATGAGGGCAGTAAGGGAAATTCAGATGTGACTGAAACCATCTTGAACTGGTTGATTGAAAGGATAGCTATTCCATTAAAAGAATGAGAAAGACAAAAAGTCAGCTTTTGGAAAGAAAAATCATATATGTAGCTCTGGAGATATTAAATGGGGATGCTAAAAAAACGCAAAGTGTTTTTTGGAATCATGCGTTTTAGGAATCATGAGAGGGGAATGTGGGAGAGAATCAGAGCTGGAGATACAGCCTTGTAGTCTTGGCAGTTATCTGAAAACCCACAATTTAATGGATAAAGGGATAATGGAGAAATTATGGAGGGATTTCAAAAGATGATTAAACATTGGGTGACTACCTACACTTATTGGTTCAGTTAAAAAAAAGCAGAAGAATAAAGAGAGGCAAAGGAGGAGTGTTGACTGGGGCAACAAGAATCTCATGTCATGCCAATAGAGAAGAGACTTGCAAGGAGAAAGCAGCTGTGAATTTCAAATATACACCTTCAAATGATGTAGTGGTTGGAAGAGACAGGAATTAAGAAAAGTCTGCTGTGACTCACTTTCTGAAGTGAAATATAGAGGCAAAGCAACACATTGGGAAGAGTGTAGATATTGGAATCAGAGGAAGTGGAGTCAGTTCTGATCCTGTGTGGTTGAACTATGTGATTGAGAGGAAATTATGGCACTGAATCTCTCTGAAGCTCGGTTGGCTGACTGTAAAATGGGATTAATACCAGACTTCAAGGCTGTGTTGAGAATAAATTTAAAACATCACCACGTTAACTCCATTTATACCTTTATTTCATCTTCTGCAAAGCTGAGCCACCCTGCATAGTAGGCTTTCACTTTGCAGGTTTCCCTTAGCTTCTCAGGCCGAGCAATTTATCAGTCACATGTTTACATACATGCTACTTTTAAACTTTACTTACATGGTTTCAGTTTTTAGGGTTTTTTTGTTTGTTTCTTTGTTTGTTTTTACTTTTCACTTAAGCTAAGTGAAAAAGATCACAATTACCTCATTTATTGTTTACTTTTTTCCGTTTTTGCTAACCTGTGTGAGGAACAGTCATCAACCTTAGAAGATGCTGATTGAGTGCATGTTAGAGGTATGGCAATGACACTTTTCTTGCAAATTAGTAGTATCCCATTGGTGTCTGATGTCTTTCCTAACATATTCTTTAAAAGAAGGTCAGACATTCCTAGTATCCTGCCTTTCTTTCAGGACCCCAATTTTCTCCAGGGGAGCAACATATGCTGGATTTAAAAACTGCTCTCCCAGAACTTCTCTGGCTGCTGCATAGCCCATGAGGCAGGGACTATGGTATGACCAAGGGAAAAATCTCTTTTATTTATTTAAAAAAAAAATAGTTTTCCAAGAAACCCTTTCCAGGAGACTTCTACTTACCTCCTTTCCTCTCAGTGATCAAAAGCCTCTTCACCACAGTCACTTACTACCTCCTACCAACCCTCATTCTCCCAAGTGTCCTTCACTCCATTTACTCTTCTGCATTTTTCTTCACCATATTTCTCATGCCAGAACTTGGGATTCTCCACCAGTCTGCTCATTTTCATGCTCTCAATTCTCACATCCATTGATTACATTCATCCATGAAATAGATGGGTGTACAGAAATCCCTCTTTTCCCTCCTCTAAAGGGATTTCTGTAGAAATTCAAGAAAATCCTATTACTCCTAAAAAATTATTATAATAGTTAATTGCAAACCATTAAGCATTGGTAACTCATCCTCCCTGTGCAGAGCTGAATGGAGGGGAAGCAGCTGGAGCAAGGTTCACTCTTGAGGGGCCTGCCAGAGCGAGTGGTCAACAGAGAATGATGTCAACAGCTTCAGAGAGGCTAATCAGTGTGACTGATGAATATATCTGTCCCTGGGAGAAGAGCAGGGACCACTTTGTCCATCATGCTTGATTTTGTATCCCTTAGTGCCTAGCAAAATGCTCTGTTTATAATAGATACTCAGTAGCTCTTTGCTAGGCAAATAGTTGTTTCAGAGAGACCCTGCTGTAAGACGATGCACATATCAGGAAAAGGAAGAAAGGGTTGAGTGGAAACTGAAATGGAAGAAATCGAAATGGAATATCATGCAATCTAATGGTGTGTTGGTGGTAAGCAACTAAACAAGTGTTCATCCTGGTTTATAGCTGTCACAAACACAATGTTTCATATATACCAAAAGATAAACATCTTAGAAACCAGGAACCACTGTCAGGAACCAAACCAAAAAAAGGAGCCAAATGTGAATCCAAGCTGATACCATGACTTCCACTTTTACCTCTTATTATTAATAAGAAGGGATTTACACTGATAAAGTAATATAGTGCTAAATGCCATTCGTATGAAAGTTAACCTTCTGTTTTATTAGTAAGCAATAGGAGAATAATCAATAAATACTACCAGCGGTGGTAATGTGACTAGCCTTATAAATTGGTCTGGGCGGCATGGCGTGTGCAATGAAGAATAGCACTAAGACTCCATACTGATAAAAATGCAAATGAAGAAGTCTTTTCTATCAAGAAAGAATGGTATAATTCTATTTTGAATTATTGTAAGATTTCTTTCTCAAGTCTATCTACTATGTTACATTCAAATTTATTATGTTAAGCTAGAACTCTATTGTAAGTTCTTTTAAACAATTGCCAAATTGACTATGCATAAAGAAAAAATGTGTTGGGTGGGAAATAAGATCCTATGGTTTATACATTTCTTTCTTAAAACTCTCTGCTTCAGCTGGTTATTTACCCATCCTCTTCTCTCACTCCCTCCCTGTGGTTGCTTCACAGGCCACGGCACATGTTCCTGTGGTCGCTGCGTTTGTGAGAGAGGATGGTTTGGGAAGCTCTGCCAACATCCGAGGAAGTGTAACATGACGGAAGAACAAAGCAAGAATCTGTGTGAATCAGCAGATGGCATATTGTGCTCGGGGAAGGGTGAGTGTCTCTGCTGGAGCCTGGACTCGATTCCTGTTCTGACACATGATTTGTAGAACAGCATGTAGCAACTGTCTTTCCCAGACTGAACTTTGCGTGAAAGCAAACCACTATGTCCTCTGCTGTACCCAACTTGAAGCTTGAAGATTAACCAATTGAAGTTTTAAATATAAGAAATGAAATGCATGCAAGAAGATTCATGCAAAAACATCCTTGTAAGTGAAGTTATTGCTGAATTATATGGAATTAATATTTATATAAAGAAATTAGGACAACAAAATGTACTGGGTACTAAATGGACCCACAAAAGGGGAAAAAAGGCCAAAGAATGATTGTTGAGCTTACCTCTAAAACAACACAGCTCAGAACTGTGGAAAAGTAATCACAAGCATCTGAGCTACCAAAACATATGACCTTGGGAACTTCTGGGGTGAAATTATTTAGTTGTGTATGGAGTAGGGAGGGATTGAAGGTGCGAGAAGACGTAAAAGGAGATGAAATATTTAGTTTAATTGAGCTTAATGTTTTAAAAAGGAAAGAAAAGCTGTGGGGTTGGGTAGTATCTCACAAATCTGATGTAATTTTCTTTGACCTAAAAATCACCAATTGTTTCAAGTAAACACATTCAGCCTGATATAAGCTAATAGGGAATTGTTCAGCTGGGCACAGTGGCTCATGCCTGTATTCTAGCACTTTGGGAGGCCAAGACGGGTGGATCACTTGAGGTCAGGAGTTCTAGACCAGCCTGGCCAACATGATGAAAAACACAAAAATCTACTCACTAAAAAAATACAAAAACTAGCCAGGCATTGTGGCTCACATCTGTAATTACAATTACTTGGGAGGCTGAGGCAGGGAAAGAGCTTGAACCTAGAAGAAGGAGGTTACAATAAGCTGAGATCACTCCAGTGAACTCTAGCCTGGGTGACAGAGCAAGACTCCATCTCCAAAAAAAAAAAAAAATCATGTAAGAGTTAAAAAAAAAAAAAAGCCTGCTGAATGGTTATAACCTACAAGCTGGCTGAATAGAAGCCACTAACCTAATAAAACATTTGCCACAGAAACATTCAAGGAAAAAGGAAGCCTTCCCCATCTCCCATCCTACACACACATACCTACACACACACAGAGAGAGAGAGAGACTGGAACAGATTTTCCCTAAGTAAAGTATACTAACAGATTAAATTTTGAAAACGTTAATTTTGATGTTTCTGTAAACTATTCCTAAAGGGACTTTAAAATCCTGCCATTGTAGTGCATATGGCATCATCTAGAAAGCTGCTGTGTTCTTTTTTGCTAGTGACTAGGAAGACACAGGGAGCCTGAAAGATTCTCACTCATGTCTGGGTAGCAGCCCTTCAAAAAGCAGAAGTTACGGGGCTTCCCAGCTCTCCTCTTCAGCTCAGTATCCTCCTTATACAACAGACCCACCTTTCTTTTTCAGACAAGGCACAGCCCTGGCTGAAGCCTCATTTACCCTCAAACACCTGTGCTGGTCAAGATGACCATGCAAACAACTTTCTGAAGAAGACAGTGAATCATAAGTGTGCTAGAGACTCTGAATCCTAATGTCAAAGAACCACACCAATGAGGCTACCACACACACAGGAAGGTAGATGTGCCATGTGTCCTCTAAACAGTAGCTTTGGTTTTGCCTCATCTGCAAGACTAATGCTATGAAAGAGACTTTTTGGCAGAACTTCAGACATAAAAGAGGATAGATGCTTTGACTATTTGTGGTGCCAAGAAGGGGGATGAAAATGGATGCAAATGTGTTCACATCAATAGATAACAGTGTCCTTGGTTTCCCAGAATTCTGTGTTCAAAACTTGCTCAGGCAAGGAGGCCATGTTTTCAACCTAATGCCATTACAGCAGGCAGGTGGAAAAGGAACTTAAAGCAATTGCTTTGTGACTTGCTTGTTCTCTCCTTAATTTAATCTAATATCAAGCCCCAAACAAATATTCTACCAGTTCTGTTCTCAAGGGGCCTCAGTTTCTAGAAACACCTACCTTGATTTCAAGCTGTGTTGAGAGAACCAAAAAGAAAGCTTAAAAGGAAGAGAACAAAGGAAAGAACCAGGGAGACAGAGATTAATGCAGAAAAGCGGGAAAGGAGGCAGGGAAGGAATTAAACTGCAAGAGAGAGTAAGAGGGACGGAAGGAGACGTTATCAGATCAAAGGAGAATGATCTGTACATAAAGAGATACTAGGAGTGAATAGTTTCTAAATTAGATTTTTTTTTTCTCCTAGCATTGCTTCGGACATTGAGCACTTAAGTTCAGATCGTTTTTTACTTGATTTTCTGTAATGGCATTGTCACTGGGATAAGAATAGAAACTTCACAGAAGCTCTACTGAATGAGGATACTCATGCATATTAAAACACTAGTGTGCTTATTTATATTTGTTTATTTTAAAAGTCAGCCATTGCTTGTGTTTATGTGTTTACTACACTTGCTGTTGAATCATTAACCATGTCCATAAGCAGGTTTTCCCTAAGACCTGTCCAACTGCAAGTTGAGGAAGAACATACAAAGTCATACTCTCCAGCGTAACGAATAGCAGTCTTCCATTTCCTAAACTGAGTGTCATTCAACAAAAGCTGCTTCTTTTCAAGAAATAAACATTCTTATTAAAGTCATTACAGCCCTAGGAAATATTCTCATCTTTGGGCAGCATAAATGTAGAAACTACGAAGAAAAAAATAGGTTGACTAAATATTGACTCAGAGGCATTTCCTCAAAACCAAACAAAACAAAGCCAACGAGTCTCTCTAGCTAATGCGTTTGCAAATTGTTTGCTTTGGGTGGTGGGAATATATTCAGAGATCAGTGAAGGGCTGAAAACATATTTGTCTAAACTATTTGTTTATCCTTCAATGGGTAGAGAGTCTTGGAGTCTTTATAAAAGAGAATAGAAGAGCTGCCCCAAGGCTGCACGTGCTGACATTTATGTTAGTGGACGGGCATTCATACTCTTGGCAGCAGCTGACTGTGATCTCCCTTCTTTTCTCCTGTTATGGAGACATCAGTGCTGGATTAGGGATGAAGAAAGGGGACAAAACCAGGATCATGGAACTGTGATCTATGGTAGGCACAGAGGATAATGGGGATGCCACAGTTACTCTGGATTCCAGTGGGGAGCACTGCCCCACATCCCACCCCGGGAACCACAGGAAGAGTGATGCATGAAACAGACTAAAGGACTTTAATATGGTGATGGAAAAGAGAAACCTGTTTCCAGTTGTTTGAGTGGGGTCATGTATCCTTTATCAATCTCATGGACTTGTCCAAATGTCCTATCATTTTCCTCAAATTTGACAATGAAAGTCCCTCACCCTGATGGTCACAAAAGATATTCAGAGTCCTCCTTTATTTGATTATGGGACAGACCTGAGCAGTGGGCATGAGGTCACCATGGCACACTGCTTCGTGGCCCATACCCACCAAAAGGCCGAAACATGCATTTCACATGAGCTGCGAATAAAGCTGTCACCTCAGGAGACGATGAAGAAATAGCGTTTTATTTCTTTACAAATTTATAGCCAAGACAATAAATCACTCCATAGAAAAATTTAAAACAAGATACATTGTTGTGACCTTCATAACAGATGGAGTAGTTAGTACAATAGTGAAAACTGCCTGCTGGGTTGTCAGGTTGCAGCATTTCATCAGGCTTGAATGAAAAATAAAGTCCAGTGTTCGTAATGGAATGGGCAACTGACAAAGGTGCCTTGCCCTTAGACTAAAATCTTTTTTGTGAATAACCAAGAGAGAAGAGGTTAGTGCTGTGCTGGGTCTCCCCTAAGCTTAGCTACCTTTGCAAAGTACATGATATAGTTCACTTTGGGATGTTTTGTTCATTTGGGGATTTATTTATTTGGATCCAAGACTATACAACTATGTCTTTGCCTCGATTACTTCAAGATAGATCCAGATAATGACGTCCAATCTTCTTATAGATGCTATTGTGTGACAATGGCTGTACACCACATGTCATTAAATGTCACCTTAAACTCCCACAGTGAAACTTCTTGGGTCCCACATTATCCAAATCAGTCTAGCACACACACACATTCATCCACCCATGCCCCTGTTCCACATCCCCAAAAAGACAAAGAGTAGAAGGTGCTTCACAAAATCAGCCTCAGCCTTGTGTTCAAGTTGCCTCCCTCAATATGCCTGTGCAGTCAGCCCTGCAGGAACTGCTCATTTTTTAAACTACTGTATATGAGAGTTTTTGCTGGGAAATACATCACAGATCACTAAACAGAAGAGTGGATTGAATCAGAGTGAAGTATTCACTTAACTGGTGTTTATTGTGAGGTCCAGGGCAATTTCTTTATTCTCACTGACTTCCATTCTCATCTTTGAAGGTAATGTGTCATTTCTTTCCCCTGCTTATGTCCTAAGATGCTCTGAGTCTTCATGAGAAAATGTGGCTGATTCCACAGGGATGGAAGCCAGCAAAAATGCACAGAAGGGACATGGGAACATTCTTAAGGGTCCTAATATTAAGAAAGAAAATGAATGGATTATTGGTGTTATGGTGATGAACCTTCTGCCCTAGAACTCCTGCCAAGATCAGCTGGCTGGGCTGGGTCTCGGGGGTGTGAATGGGTCTTGGCCAGCTGAGTTGAATCATTTCTCATATCTTGGTAATCATGCAGCCTGCATGGAATCCTATACCTGTTGGTTTCCATTTAAGAGAGGGACAATTTGACCCCTGTTATGGAAGAAAACAGACAACTAGAGCATTCTAGAAGAAAAGTGCTATAATAGGTCCTAATAACTATTCACAGTGTGTTCTTACTACATGCTTTCTAGTCCTAGTTTCACAAGCAGTAGAAGAATTTCCTACCTCTAAGATGCATTGAGCATTGACAAACAGGAAAGAATAACACAGCCGGGAAAATGCTGACCTAGAAAAGCTACTGTTTCATGACACATACAAAATCAATCCTCATTTTTTATTCTAAGTATTTCAGTGACTAGCAGACTTTCGGAACTGAAATTTACTCATCCAATGCTCAATCCGTATATGCCATATTAATGTTAGCTGAGCTTACCAGTTTTCTGAAAATGCTTTACTATGGCATGAAGCTAAGCGTTCCAGAAGCAAGAGCAGTGATTAGAATAGTTCCAGGGCCAGAGGATAAGTTTGAGATGAAAGACGAGATCTTTTCGTGAATTGTGACATACATAAAATGATATGCTGGGTGTATATATGAATATTATGGACATATAAAATCAGACACTACTTTAGAAACAACTAAAAGCAGTCAAATTCTTCAAATATTAATCTTCCTCTACTCACAGAAACAAAGTGCTAAGGATGGTGCCTTCCGAGGAAACCTCGGAGAGTTAAATACTTCACATGCTCTTTGTGGTCAGGAAGCTATCACTATACATTTGTGAAACAAGCAGTAGTGCTGAACATTTTTATGCCTAGAAATTTGAAAGCAAGTCTTTAAAGTCAGAATTAAAATGTTTCTAAAATCAGGAAACTCTGCACCTGGATGAGACTGCAAGAGGACCAGCATTTCTTGCAGACTGAAAAGAGAAGGAGCATCCCGGGTCTTGAGACACCACTGGGCTGTCAGTCACTCAGAAATGAAAAGATGTGTCTGTTTTGCTCAAGAACATGCAAATCAACCCGGACCCTCGGGAAAACAAGAGTAAATGAAATTATGCCCTAGCTAAGCAAGAAGTTAAAAATAAATGAAAACACAACGGTCACAATAGAACTAATTTTGACTGCTCTCTTACCTTGAGAAGTGTGTCAAGAAATGGCAAAGATTTAATTTGGCCTTTGGGGATTTTTGCAGCTAAATTGCATGCACCGGTTTCCCTGATATGAAATATTACATAGTACTTCATGCTTGGAACACATCAACTCGAATCCTTTCATGATATCTGTGATGACCACAATTCCTTTTCCCTAGTCACTTTAATCACCCCAGCTGTTAACTCATTTTTAATCACTGTGTTTTAAAAGAAGCACTATTGATTGATTCTTGCCCCCTTTTCAATATGTTTTGAACTTACCAATTCTACAGTTTTGTTAAATATGCCAAAATACTTTTCTCAACTGCATATTCTTTCAAGGTGGGTTTTGACTTCAAAAATTGGCGATAGCCGTCTTTTAGTAAAGGGAAGTCATGTCTGGAAAGAACAACCAACTCAAGGAAATAGGAGGAAAATGAAGTTCTTTTTATTTCTTTCTTTTCCATTTTAAAGTCTTTCTTGCTGTCATTGAGGCAGTTTTTCCATGTAAGGGTTTTTAGCCTGTCATGGAAAGCTGTTTATACTGAGAGAACTTACTTCCGTCTGGGATACCCTTTACCTAATTTATTTTCTTTGATTTTAAATATACCACTAACACAATTTTTACTCAATAAATGAGCGTATTTTAAATAACTACAGAGGAAGTATTTTAATTAGGTAGGAGGAGAAATGGGTGAAGTGGAGGGGAAAAGAGTTGAATCCAGAGCCTCATAAAGGATGTACTTTGGGAGTATTTGAGCTATCCTAGATTATGACAGAGAATCCTGAAGATGAGGTCTCATAAGGCAGATATACTGAGTGATTGTGTGCATTTTTAGCACTTTAATTAACCACCCAATATGCAGGTGTGCTACTCCAAGGAAATCATGTAAACAAAATCCAAAGTTATGAGCACAATAATTTAGTAATTATTTTAATTAGAAATGCATCCTAATTTAATACAATTCCCTATTCCATTCCTTTAAAGAACAGGCACTTTCAAAACATGATTCAATTTAGGGGGAAAAAAGTCTATTTTTGAATACCTTTTTGGAAGGTTTGATCTATTCTGATCTATAAGAATCAGCCCCATTCTGTTCTCATTGACATTTCAACCAGACTGGGCCATGGGACATTTGCTCAAGGCTAATTACAACTGTCTAGATCCATAATGAAGGCTTTCCTGGATGACCTTTATGAATTTCAGTAAGTAAAGCTCCCCTCTGAGAAACGAACCATTCAATACACTTTTACCTTTGGATGATAGGTTATTAGAAGCCTGTTGTCAGTGTGTCAATGATATTGTATTCAAGATAGAAACCTTTAGTTATTTGGTGATGGCAAGTAATAGCCTTTGTAATTTCAGGTTCTTGTCATTGTGGAAAGTGCATTTGTTCCACTGAAGAATGGTATATTTCTGGGGAATTCTGTGACTGTGATGACAGAGACTGCGACAAACATGATGGTCTCATTTGTACAGGTGCAGTATTAACCTTTTCTAATTGCTCTATGCCACAGTTTGTTATAGATCCAAGGGACAGTTGTCATGCAATGCCTTAGGTAGCCAGACCAGGAGGGCCGACTGTGAATATGAGGTAACTACCAAGGGGGAAGTGGGCATGTGGGAATAAGCCCTCACATTGTTCCTAGGCATAGAAGAATACTAAGAGAATAAAGCTAAATTCTGTGATTATTTGGGATACTTCCCAAAAGTAACCTTCCTCTTCAAACTCACATGTATACAGTTACACATTGAATTCAGAATAGAATTTTATTGGCAACGATTTTATTTTGAACATGGTACAGGGAATGGAATATTTTTTTAAACAGAATCTGGGTACCACTCATTGATGTGTTGGTTGCTTTTAGGGAACTGGATGTGCATGAGGGAAATGTGTAAAGAGGGCTCAGCAGTGTCATAGCCACTGTTATCCTAATTTATTGAGTCCTCATACTTGGTTAGAAATTCATTTGTTTAGCCAAGTTACAGAGGAAACAGAGTTGTGTACACTTGTCCTCCTCAGCTCTGGCTGAGTGTGTCATTAAGTTAGACCCTTGCTATCCATCCATCCCTACTATATAAGACTCTTCTAGCTGATTACGTGGCCTGCCTCATGTTATGTAAAAGAACTTTGTTTTCCAGTATTTATTCATAAGTCAGACATAACTTGCTCTCTAAGGGAAAACAAAATTGTCACCTAAAAGCCTAGCTGGAGTGATACAGGATTGTTACTATCTGATCGGTAAATGGTGGCACCAAATAAATGCCACTAATTGTTTGAAAGATTAGGCATCTCAAAGCTGCTTAATAAGATATAATAATATTGTTGCACAATAAGAAATCTACCAAGGATGAATGAAATGATTTCATTGTGGACACTTATGATTTATAATAGCATGTTTAAATTTGGCACATTTTTTATCGTGATCATGATTCTTGTGTGTTTTATTGCAGGGAATGGAATATGTAGCTGTGGAAACTGTGAATGCTGGGATGGATGGAATGGAAATGCATGTGAAATCTGGCTTGGCTCAGAATATCCTTAACAATTACATGAGAGAGGTCTGGATTCTTATTTTACTAGGCCATTAGAACATATAAATGCAAAGGAAACCATGTATAATCACCACTAGGACAGGTTAAAAAGACCATTGTATGTTTTTCTATTTCTGAATTACGAATGAAATCTGAGTACCTATTAGAAATGAGTTATGCAAATTCAGATGCAAATAACACTAGAAAAAAAATGTTTCTTCCATAATTAACATAAGTGGTTCCTAACGAGAGCAATTTTTCCACCCAAAAGACATTTGGCAACATCTACAGACAATTTTGATTGTCACATGGGGTGGGTGTGAAGATATGCTGTAGGCATTTGGTGGGTAGAGGCCAGGGATGCTGCTCAGCATCCTTCAGTGCACAGGACAACCCCCAAGCAAGGAATGACCCAGCCCCAAATGTCAATAGTGCCCAAATTGAGAAACACTGAATTGCATGGCTGTTAGAAATCCACATTCTTACACAAGAAAGACCATATTAGAATCTAAGGAAAACAAGCATATTCACATTAATCAATGGATCAGATTTTTCAGGAATTCCCTATCAGTCAACATTTTCATATGGGGACAATGAAGAGAAACAGGAGGTAGAAAGTCAAACTGGGGCTGGATCAAGAGCAAAGACTAGTCATTAAGTTATTTGTCATTAAATCATTTAAACACTAAATGAGTAAGTACTTTGTCTACTCTCACTTTAAAAGAAGATTCTCAAATTATGAAAAATGTACAATGTAACATTTTAAATAAATAGTGACAGAAGTTGTTTATACTCTGTGTCAGCATATATTTACCTACTGATAATTAATTTAAAAATGAATTGTTATTCAGTGATATCCATTTTAGGTTTTTAGAAATAAGGGATCACATTTTAAAAACTGGACAGGGGTTACGTGTACAAGAAACTGGATTTTTAAATTTTAATTTATTCCATGGTAATGTGACCTTTAAAAAAGACATTATTGAGTTACATATATAACGGGATTGAAGTATGCATCCATTTCCCTTAAAATACTTTCTTTTTTCTAAGGATACCTTTCTGGAAACCTGGGTTCATGCAAAGAATCAAGAAGAGAAATATTGTGATAAAATGGCACCAATCTCAGAAGCTCACAAAAGGACCAAAAAAAAATCTAGAGATGGCTTACATAGAAATTACGAATATTCACTCAGTGATAGGAACAAAATGTTTATTTTCTTAATGGTGAAACTTTGCTTTGTATGAAATTCACATTGAATTATGAAAATGTACAATAATTGGGACTTCCCTTATATATTTACAGGTAAATCTACTTATACACATTAGTTTAGGCAACCTTTAGTTATTTAGAGCTAAAAAAAAACACTTTTTTTTCTAAAGGTGAGTTATTTTGTAAAATCCTATAATAATGTAGCAAAATCATTTCGATATTATTTTAAGATGAAAATTTTTACTTGGAAATTTTATTTTAATGATGTAAGTATTCTAGAGTCATGGCTTGAACTTTATAAGTCAAATTACCAAAAATAAGGAAAATATGCATCCACTGAGTTACTTAAAAATTTAACATTGAAAATTATTTTAAGAGAACATTTAACTGATGCTGATTTTTATAGTACTAATAATGTCCTCATAATGTAATATATTTATAAAATTGTTATCTCTATCCTGAGATTAAGGAGTGCAACCATGTTGTAGTTCTATTATTGAGTATGTAAATTGATATATCTCTTTTGTAAAATGAGGGAAATATTAGTAGTCAATAAATATTGTAGGTTATATTCTTTCCTCTTCACTACCTAAACATTTTAAGCTGCAAACAACCTATTATTACGGTTCTGTAGCAATTTGGATGACATATTTGCTGATGCGCAGACATTGGAATTCATAACATTATCTAGCCATCCTAATACAATTACCTTTGGATTCTCCTGTCACAGGGCTTATCCTCCTGTGAAGGACCAGAAAGTTAAAATTTACAGACCACATACATCCCTGTCTCATTATCTTCTTTCTTTGTTTCTGTTTACTACTTTAAAGCTGTAAAAAAAATAATTCCTTCTGAGTTCCCAGGCCATACAAAAACAGATTAAGGGTGGATTTGGCTGGCAGCTGAACAGTACTTTGTCAGCCTCACCTCCACTGGAAGTGCCCTTGATTCTCTATGGCTCATCACAAAACCTCAGGTGAGTCTTATTTTCTTTATAACCCTCTGTTATTATCCTTTTTATTAAGAACAATAACTACAACAAAAGTGCTGCTCTTTTTCATAGTCTTATGTAAGAACAGTGTCAAAAATGTTCTCCGCATTTGTTTTCTCAGAAAAAGAATTTAGATATTGGAGAAATTATACCATGAAGTTCAAAATGTTGGACAAAGATGAAAATATGGTCAGTTCTGTTCCAGTGTTCATTTAGTTAGAAACCATAGAACTGGAAATGTATTATAATATAAGTTACATGACACCTAAACTCTAAGGAATGCTTTTTCTTTGAGAACAGAAATATTTTATTTTTACTTATTTCTGTGTGTGTGTGTGTGTGTGTGTGTGGTTTTGATGCCGGCAATGCAAACACCAATATATCTATTAAGAAGTAATTGAATTTAGATTGGAAAAAATAATTACATGTAAAGACATAAACATTTTCCTTCTTAAATATAATTTTGTACTTTTCCAACTCTATGATAGAAACTCCCTCTAAAAAGCAAGCAGGGCAGGAACAAACTTCTAACAGGTGGGAGGAAACAAGCAAATCTGATTGGCTCGTTCTGGTTTGAGGAAGCTGCAGTGGGATTAATGTCAATTGGAAGGGATGCAACAAGTTTACAGAAGGTATTGGCACTAACCCTGCTTGTTTGGCAAATCACCACTGAGAAATTCCACCCTGGGACTTTTCCATAAAAAAGTCAACTAAAGTGCAAAGACATAAGAGGAGAGACATTATCCTTTCTGGGCTCCTTGAGTTTATCTGGATTCCATTAGCGCTTTGGAAGGAATGTCCTCCACCACCTCAAATGCAAATATAATCTCTGCCAGTAGACATTGGAATTAGACTTAGTGAAAATCAAGAAAACAACAAAACTGAAATATAACTGATCCTTAGTTTGCAGACTTAACTATCAACACTTTGAAACCCTACTCAATATTCAAGAGTCAAGAGTTTCACATTGTAGGCTAAGAAACCTAAGCTATGACTTATATTTCACTCAAAGTAACACAATGCACATCCTGGATTTTGACATGCCTGCAGTTTGGAAAATAACTGAGGATTTAGCCCAATAGCTTTCTCTTGATACAGTCTTGTTCTGAATTAAGAGTGAAAATAATTTTCAATTACTTTCATCTTCTTTCTAAAGTAGATGTTAGTCAATGTGGTCTCTTCTTGAATATGTATCGAACATTGATTATCTCTAATATTAGGGAGATAATTTTAAATGAAGTGATAGATGTCTAACTTAAAAAAATAAGAAGTTTTTGGTTTTTAAAGAGAACCATATCTGATACTGTTTATCCTGATAAAAATGACTATTTTAGTGCTTAAAGCATTAACTAAGCAAGTGGCCACGTATGATAAAGAACCTCTGCTTGCTGCCTAAGAGGCAAACTATTAGAAGAACTGCAGCTGGAGCCCTTTGGCCCCATCGTGGATCTCTTTAAGTCACCCCTACCCAAAACCATTCAGGACAAGCCAACATTTAGAGCAAGAATCTCCGAGTTCTTCAGGATTTGTGATGAAACAATGCTCAGTTCCATTTTGCTCCTTACATAGGTTGGAGAACTTGCATGTCTTCTCTAATTTTTCCAAGTCAAGTGGTAGCAAAATGTTTTAAAAAGCAACCTTATTAGAAAACAAAAATGTTTCACTTGAAATATCAAAACAGCATTTCTGAGCATTGTTGAGGGATTGGCAAAGCAATCTGCTACTCTAACAAATCAGTAGAAGTAACCCTCCCACACCAGATATGCATGCAGCAGGAATGGAGTATTCTAGAGACTTGATACAATGGACATATGCACATGGAGGTACAAAACACACGGTCTGTAAATACAAATGAATTCCATCCGATTTACTGTACGGAACATCAGTCGTGACAGATTGCACTCACTTAATAACAGCAAACTTAATTTTTGAGGGAAAAAAGTGGTGAAGTCTTATCCCAAACAAATAGCAAGAGAGAGGTATCATCAAAGAGCTAAAATTTTCTTTGGCATGGTAAAGGGGAAAATTGAGTTTACCAACTTATTTACATGACATTTCTATATATTGGTGGGTGATGCAATGCCATTTTGTTACATAACGTTGTTTGATGTTGTTTAATATGCCTTCATATAGTTTATTCAATATGTTGTATTTGTGAATACAACAAATGATATTAAACACAGAAACTGTACAAGGCAAACAAACTCTTTGTATGCAATTTAGCAATACATACCAACAGTTCTAGATACACAGGTACCTACTACATGCAGTTCATCAGTGCTGCCCTCGTCCCATGCAACAGGTGAGACCAGACACAAAGTAAATGACCTAAATTACAAATAACAAAGACCCCTCTGCAATATGCCTAAACATATATTAGAAGAAAGTATTTGACATCCTTCATAGGGATAAATGCCCTTATAGACACCCGTATATAAAACACAACAGAGGTACACGTTTACATAAATCTCAGTCATTTACAAAAATAAATCTTGTCTTAATTTAAAACAATAAACAGACTTGCAGGGGAAAAAGAAACCAGTAAGTAGGGCTGATTATCAATAACAACAAATACAGGGGGTTGTTTGCTGTGTGAGTGTGTGTGTGTGTGTGTGAGAGAGAGAGAGAGATACTGTAAGTAGTGTCTATTAAGCCCATTTGACTGAATTACAAGTTAAAAAGTACTCATAGTTTGCCAGATATTATGGGGTATATGTTTTCTGAAAATAATTGGTTAATACAATTTATCTATTTTAACTGATCCCCTTAAAAACAATAACCTTCAAAATGACATAACACCAAATCAGAAATGACCAAAGGAATCATCTTTTTCACATTTGTAATTTAGCATCATTGACAATAAATCTACTCAAACGTTCTGCTAACTTTTTATTTATTCAAGTAGAATCCAATATGAAAATGAAATAAGCATAAACAGTTAAATTTATACTAAACCTTTAATCAGCTAAGCAGGCCAGAATTTTTTAATGCTGGGCAAGGGCTGTCATGAAGATTTATGAACGCAGTGACAAAATAATTTTCCAATAAATACAGTGCAGATGGGGAAAATGACAACTGGGTCATCCTCCCACAGAGAAAGAATCACAAGAGGCCAGTACATTGATCCCACATATAATTTTCAATAAATGAGGTTCAGTTTGGTCTCAATGAACTCTTCTGAGAAGAAAACATTGAATTTTATTAGGTGTACACAGAGTTAACAAATATATTCCCAAACAATTTAGTATGAAGCATTTTGAAACCCTTTAGATCCAATATTGAACATTTTGCATGGAATCTTCACTGTGTAGTCAACTGTTCCTGGCCTTTCTTGGTAGTAGTCTTCCCTAAGCTCAGAGTTCAAACAGTATTAAATTAAAAAGGAAATTAAGAATGCAAAGTAAATAAAAAGGTAATAAACAGAATGGACCAAAATCCTAATGGATGAATATGTTGGTTTGCCTTTATTTTCATCTAGGATAATTCAACAGACAGACTGTATTCTGAGATCATGGCAAGGCACCTCTAACCCAGGCACAGGGCAGCATGGGCCCCAAATGCTGAGTTAGAGGCATGTACTGGTGAAATACACAGTACCGGACTCAGCATGCTGAGCTAAAAAAAATATTTTTTCCTAATATGTCCAGTTTAAAAACTTGTCATTAAACACCAAAAATATTAAAGTCTAATTTATAACTAACGTTTGCATTGCTGCTGCAGGAAAGAACACAACAACAGCCGTCTTGCCCATGCTCTGCTGAGTATGAGGGGAACGCAGCCAGAAACGGGGATGGCGTTAAGTTTGGTTCATTAAAAACAGGACGGAGTATATCTGAAATGGATTTAGGTAGCGCAATTCTCGTAGGTTGTAATTATTGATTTTCTTTTTTTAATTTTCCAAATAATGAGAATTAATAGATGAAAAATGAACCTTAATCAGGCCTACAAGGCCTACAAAAATCTTTGGACCCACTTTCTCAAAAACCAGTGGGTCTTGCTCGCTGGGCAAGGCAAATGTTACCATTACCAGTAAGCTTGTGATATGTATAAAACACACACACACAAAGAAACTAGAGGGGGATGTCAAACACACATCATAGAGAGCTTCCCTGGATTGTGTTTGAGCCATTTCCCACCCAGGCAACGCCGACCTTGGGAGCACAGTATCTGCTACTGGACAGAGTGTATATGTGTGTTTAATCGATAGTGTGAGCCAGAGACAACAATCTTAATCTTGATAGATGCAATTTGTAATAATAGGTTTAGAAGGCTTCCTGATTCCCTGATTGCTCTCTGAACTAAGCCAACTGCAACATTTAAGATTTAGAGGAACAAAATCCCTGCAAAAAGGTCACAGACAGTGGAGCGAGCAGCCCTGTAGAAATGGGAAGAAGAGAAATCCATAATAGCACAGGTTTACAGCGTCTAACTAGAAATTACTCAATATTATTTGTGTGCTACAAAATTGAACTTAAACACATAGATTTCGCTGAAACAGGACTCAAAAAGGATTATGGGTAGCTGTCAGCAGGCAAGGTATCGAGTGTACTTGTGAAGTATGTCATTCACATGAAGTGTCACAGTCACAGAAAAGATATTAAAAAGGCATTCCATATCTGGTAGGGCATTCCATGGTCTGAGTTTAGCTGGTTATCCAGGTGTCTTCTTGTTGTGGGGGGTGCAACAGGTTGAGATTTATCCACTTGCAACAGAGAAGTTCAGAGACAGCAAAGAGCAAGCGTTAGCTTACTTCCAGCTGCTCTTCAGCCACAGAGCAGGAATGTCTGGTGAGGATAAATCACTCAACTGTGCTCAGGACAAATAAGTCACAACACCTGTGAGGATCTGGCTATGTTGTCTTACTCTTGTTCACTGGTTTGCCTCCATTCATTATTGCAGACGCACTTGTGCTTTTACTTGGCGTCACCCCAGGCTTCGGGACCGTTTCCCCAACATCATGCAGAGATGGTTCTCGGTACATGGCAACTAGTGATGGGAAGAAAGGAGGAGGAAAAGGAAACAGTGCTTGGTTAGGTGCGAGAATGGTCCATCTGTACATGCACAGACCACTGCAGTTTGCCCACTTCTGTTTTCCCTGAGGTAAAGCAATTCCATTGGGAAGGAATTCCTGTTGTAAAGCAATCATTTCCAGCCCACAGAAGACAATACTCCTTTCACATCGTTTGGTCTGTATACCTAAAACAGGTACATGAGCGTGTATGGTTTTTTGTCTATGACAGAAAGTTTAAATGGGAGCTATGGCCCCTTTGTGGGTCCATGATGTAAAACACACACACATCGTTGGAGAATAACAAGCATTTAACTTAATTTTCAAAAAGGAAAACTCAGACTTCTCTTTGACTATACACTAATATCAACACTTGAACTTCTCAGTCACCTCTATCTTTGTGAGCTATGATATTTGCATCCTAGAACACTAAATGATTTTCTCTCATCTGGTTCAAAAGCAACATCGTCATATAGTGTCAACTTCAAAGCTACACACATACTCTCTTCCCATAAGCCAGAGACTTCAGGAGATTTCATTTCAATGTTCATGTCCTACAATCATGGAAAGAGACCCTTGAGCAGCAAAAGGAAACTCCTTGTTTTTTGCTACATTATTAAAAAAATCTAATAATTGAGCTGATATAGGGGTAGAAACATAATGTGTATATATGTATGTGTATGTATATATGATGTATGTGTGTATATATATATATACATATATGTGTGTATACATATGTATGTGTGTGTGTGTATATATATATATATATATATATATATATATACGAGAAGGAAACAATAGTTTTCATGTATTCAAAAAATTCATAGAAGTACTCTAAAAACAGTTAAAGGGATAGGTACTATAATAATTGACCTGATATGGGGTAGATGTATATACATATAGGGGTATATGTATATATACAATATATGTATGCATATATGTATGTGTGTATATATATATACATATATATGTGTGTGTATATATATATATGAGAAGGAAATATATACATATTGTATATGTATATACAAAACATGTATATGTATGTGTGTATATATATGTATATATACATATTGTATATGTATATACAATATACACATGTTGTATATGTATATACAAATTGTATATGTATATACAAAACATGTATGTGTGTATATATGTATGTATATATATATATACACACAGACACATATACAATCATATACACACAACAATTAAAAACATGAGTGAAATACCAAGTATCATTCTATTCCACATCATTATCTCAGATATTTGCTATAGGAGATACAAAACAACTGGTTCCCAAATTTTACCTCAGTTAAATGACATAAAACCCCACCCATTTGGGTTTTGCTACATTTATGCAGCTAAAAGGTAAGGTTTTAAATATTTAGTCAATTTTTAACTGTTTGTAAAAATGAGTGAAAAGAGATAACGTAAGGTGGCAAATACACCATGGTCTTGTTAGAGCTTCTGTGGCCTTAGTTTTTAATTTTTTATTTGCATTTAAATATTGGTGAGTCCAATGTTACCAAAATTCATTTAAAACAATGAAAGCGTATCATAGACATGTTATTTGGGAAGAAAAGGTAAATCCTCTAACTTCCTTCTACTCTAATCTTCCTTATATCTACCATGTACTGAGAATATTTCAGACGCTAGAATAATCTGTCATTTCCTGCATAGGCCCTGGTGGCTAACTCTTCGGGTTTCGATAAATTGTTCTACAGACAAATATAATTAAGAGTGACAGTAAGTCAACATCATTGAAATTGGCACCAGTGCATCATCTGAGTTTTTGGCAGCATACATACTTGAAAGAGAAAATGTATATAAGACTTCTATTAAATGACTTGCCAAGGTAGCAAAAGGAACTAATGCATATTCTGGAAGCACATCATTCCAATCTCTCACTCCTAGTGCTAATTAAATTAGGGAGACAAAAGCAGGAAGCATTGGCCTTGATTTTTTTTTTTTTTTTGAGATGGAGTCTTGCTCTGTTGCCCAGGCTGGAGTGCAATGCAGCGGCATGATCTCAGCTTACTACAACTTCTGCCTTCCAGAGTCAAGCAGTCAGTCTCCTGAGTAGCTGGGATTACAGCCACTCGCCACCATGCCTGGCTAATTTTTGTATTTTTAGTAGAAACAGGGTTTCACCATGTTGACGACGATGGTTTCGATCTCTTGACCTCATGATCCACCCACCTCGGCCTCCCAAAGTGTTGGGATTACAGGCGTGAGCCACTGCACCCGGCCTGAGCTTTTCTATGTAGTGAAGTTTCATCAGAGAGATGAATGTTCTAGCCTATCAATAATTAACCAGGTACTTAATTTGTCCTAACATTTCCAAAAACATAATTTATATCCAGTATGGGTTTTGAAAGTTTGAAATTAATTTTTTTCTATCAAGTAAACAATGTGATAGCCTCTCTCATTATAGTACCTACCCTTTTAACTGTTTTTGGAGTACTTCTATGAATTTTTTGAATACATGGAAACTATTGTTTCCTTCTCATATATATATATATATATATATATATATATACACACACATACATATGTATACACACATATACATATATATGTATATACACACACATATATACATACACATACATATATATTTACACATACTCTTTGGGTTTTGATAAATTGTTCTACAAACAAATATAATTAAGAGTGACAGTAAGTCAACATCACTGAAATTATAAAAGTAGTATTAGCCAATAAGAGTGGTTTTTCTGAATTTAGGCAAACTGAAAATTATACACTCACAGTTAATGAAGAATTGACTGCTCAAAATTATTTTATTTCAATATAGAGAATATGCATCATGAAACCAATATGCATTTTCTCTTGATGACTAAGCCTTTCCTATAGGAATAAAGAAAAGAAAATTGAGCTGCCTAAGCTGGTTTAAAGTATTTACTGAGTCACTATAGGTCTGATCTTCTGCAAAAGAGAAAACAAAAGTATTTGAATAGAAAGTGCATGTGAGGCCGGGCGCGGTGGCTCAAGCCTGTAATCCCAGCACTTTGGGAGGCCGAGGCGGGTAGATCACGAGAGATCGAGACCATCCTGGTCAACATGATGAAACCCCGTCTCTACTAAAAATACAAAAAATTAGCTGGGCACGGTGGCGCATGTCTGTAATCCCAGCTACTCAGGAAGCTGAGGCAGGAGAATTGCCTGAACCCAAGAGGTGGAGGTTGCGGTGAGCCGAGATCGCGCCATTGCACTCCAGCCTGGGTAACAAGAGTGAAACTCCATCTCAAAAAAAAAAAAGAAAGTGCATGTGAATAGCCTACAATAAAATATTTTTGTAATTCTCTAATGTTACATAGATAAAAGTAAATGACACTTTTGGCAGAATCATTAATGAGAGAGGTGCAGATGTTGTTGATTAATTATAAAAACTTTGTGGCCTGCTCTTTGGGCATCTGATTTAAGTAAATGTAAAGTCACCATTATTTGTAAATGAATATGGATAAATTATTTTAGTAACAGAAGTAATGCTACAACTGCATACAGTGAAGAATTATGCAATTTGAAAGGAGATGTGTAACATCAGCAAGTTCTTTAAGAGTCAAGCTATTATCTCTTAATTTTCTGTAATTATAATAATTCACAAGTAATTACTTTCACCTAGATAATGTCAAAATGGAAAATACTTTTGATTCCACACTCAAAACTTACTTTTCTAATATACTTATCATCAAAGATTTGTATCACTACAGATTCAAAATTGTTTTAAATTAATTTAAATTATCTCAGGGTTAGAGTGGTTGAAGCAGTGAGGATTTGAGACATTGGAAGTGGCAGAGAAGTTTTTCCTGGTACACATACATACACAAATACGGTAGAGTATATAGGCGCACAAATTCTAAATGAATAACTTAAGTAGGCATCTGTGTAACCATCACCCAGATCAAAATAAATGACATTTCCAGCACTTCTTGAGGGTTTTTTTTTATAGCCATAGTAGATCTATCAATTTAAAAAATAAAATGTGTAATAAGTCTGTGTAACAATGACGCATACATAATACTAACCTTCCAATGGCTTGGGTAGAAAATGAGCTGCTGGTTTGGTTTTCTTTACTCGGTTTCCTTTCATAGCTTGCCCTTCCTTATTTAATCCCAAAAACCAGGCTCTACCAGATTCCTGTTGTCTGTACAGCATGGATGAGTAGATTACATAATAATTTTCAAAAACAGATTCTTTAAACTTGCATTCAGGGGTAAAAAGCTCCTGTGGAGAGAAAGGAGACAAAAGTTAGAGGAAGGAACTTGATCTTCACTATCCATTCAATTCATTCTCTAGAAACTTTTCCAGCATGGTGAAAGAGTCCTTTGGCATGGATGATTGGATAGTCCCCTTCCTGCACAATAATCGTCTATACATTTTTTTAAAATATACAACAAATTGAGAAAAATCTGCTACTATTGAGAATATATAGAGGCTAAAGTTTATCATAAGAAAACAGAAGATATGAGCAAACTAAAGATTTCACTTAAACAGAAGACAATTCAACCAGAGTATAATCGGGAAGGAAACATTAAAGTAGCATCATATAGTCACAGTAAAGTCAACAAAATGTACATTGCAAATATTTTATAATCCACTTTACATGTTTCCATAGGAACTGAGATATGATACTCTAGCAGTTGCCAGTGGCTGTTTGGATCACTGAAATCATAGGGTGATACATTTTACTTAGAAAGGAAAAAACCGAAACCTCAAACTACAACCATGACAATCAGCTGGCTCACACGTATTGTTGCGTGACCAGCTGAGGCCAGGTGTCATGTTAGCTGGTCATAGTGACAGGAGCTGAAAGTAATTCAGTGGAGCCCCAAATCTATTTTCAAGCTTTGGAGCCCCACTGGAACTCTTGAAGATAAACATCGAAAGCTACTCCAACTGAAAAACCAAACAGCATTTTTGGAAATTATATAGTGTGTTAAAAACCATTATGCTTAATACCATGGTCTACATTAATTGATAAGCAGCACAAAGCTTAATACTTTATAACTATTATTAATGGCAGAAATATTCATAGATGATTTTTATATACTTCTTACTTTGGGATGAATAATAATCAATATAATGACAGGCCAGATTAATAAAAAATTGGCAAGGGTATAACCTACATATGCACTTTTGATAGCCCTTTACTCAATTTTTAAATTCAACCTGTCTGGTTATAGACCATGAAAGACACTTAGCTAGTTTTAAATAGGTCCAACACTGTGCTATTCTATATGTATATAAAATATAGATGGAAAACAGAGCCTTATTGTCCTTGATCTTTTTAACACTATCACTGTACTAAAAACTATCTACAAAGTTTTCATTTTTCTTTAACAATTTTATTGTTGCAGAAAATAAATAACCTTTGTTTCTTTTCTAAGAAAATACTCCTTAGGGGATAAAAAATAAAAACATTAAAGACTTGACATGTGAACTAATTGCATGTAGAAGTTTCCTTTCGATATTTCCCATCAAAGTGTGAACGATCCAATGCTGTCTTATGCCAGAGTCAGTGTGTTCAGTGTGCTACATAATTTTAACTAATTCACTGAGAGCTAATAGTTTTCCATGGGGAACAGGCTTTGTTAGTGGCAGATGCTTTTCAAGACAAAGATGACAGTTACAATGATCAATTAGATGAAATCGCAATAGCCAAAAACAGGTTTAGCCCCTCCTGGAGCAACGTAGATAGATCTTTATTTCTTCTTGATGATGTTATGTCCTATTACAATAAGATCCCATCCAAATAAATGCTCCGGCTTTCCACTGAGTTCTGCATCTCCGAATATCTTCCTATTAGTTTTCTCACTAATAAATGAGTCTCACTGAGTCAACATCCAGACCATGCACCAGAAAAAAAAGACTGAGCAAACAGTACATGTTCACACATTCATGTTGATTAAAACAAAATGGAATGCTATGAATCTAGCTTTTCTCCAAAAAACTAACAAATATATTGGTTGAAACTATACTTTCTAAAACAAAAGGATAAGACTCTGGCATTTCACCTGTCATTTTACTGAGATAGGCCCGGGCATCTAAGCATATTGTTTACTAGTTAAAAACCTATGTCAAAATCAGCTAAGAGTGATGTGGTAAGAGCTGAACTAGTGGGTCATTGAGTGGAAGTCAGAGGAACCTGCCACCACCTTCTGGTCTTCAGATGTCTGTGTGACCAGGACCTGGCTCACTGTTGCTCAACATTTTGCTACAGACGCCAGGGCCTCCAGCTACAGAAATGTAGGTCCACAGGATGATGTAACTTTCATTGTCTTCTGATCATCACTGCTATAATGTTCAAAACACGGTGAATGGTGCTTGCAACACCATCAGCAGCTTAGGGATGTGTTGTTTCCATTCTGAATTCACTATGCTGAATATGAAAGAGAAGAAGATGCTTGATGTAAAGGATGTAATTTATTCTTGGTAGATACCTTAAGGACTTCTGACACTACATCTTTTCAGATGAAATGTTTGCATCGTAGGACTCTAAGGAAGTCAGTTCCAGAGCACCGTTCTGTGAGTTGTGCCTGTGACTTCACAGAGAGCTGATTCTTTCTGTCTTCCACAACTGAGAACTGTTGCCTTCAGTTGCTTGTGAAAGTGGAGACCGGTACATTTTCAGCCTTTTTATTTCTGGCTAAATAATGTGCACACACATGCACATTACATTCAAAGATGTTATTGTCTAAGACATTTTCTCAAGACTTTTTGAGAACTTAACTCTTCCTCCAATATTGAAGTCTCAACCCCCGCATTTCCTGTAGAACTGATAGAACTAATGGAAGTTGAGGTTAGTCATTATTTGATGTCATAAGTGATATAATTTCAACATGTAAATGGAAAGTAATGGAGCAGATAAACATCACCTGTGGTGGAGACCTTAGGATTCAACCCTGATCCCACTCCTTACTAGCTGTGTGTTACTGGGAAAATTAATCCCTCTGGGCTTCAGTTTCCTCATCTCTAAAATGAGGACAAAAATCACAGGGCAGTAAGGTAGCTGGGATGATTGAATGAATACATGCATATTACATATTTAGAAGATAACTTGGCATACAGTCAGCACTCAGTAATTATTCTTTAAAAGTTTCCCTATTACTTATAGTCATAAATACATTCTGATCAGTTATTTCAATTTTCTGAAAATCTCACCAAATCAATAGCCAGCTACATAATTAGCCAATGAATACAGTTTTACACAAAATATTGGGTACAGCATGAAATACAAGATAAATAAGAGTAGTTGTTCATTTCATTTTAAAATGACAGAGCAATGTAATTTTTGTTTTGAGTGACTTACCTATTAAATACTGGAGTGATTATAGGGCGAGTCAATGGTATTGTGAAAGACAAGAGGTAGGAAATACCCTGGTACATTTGGAGAACTAGAAGTAATTCATTACTGAGATACCAGCTTTGTGGGACCGAAGTAGAGAATGTTCTAGATGGATAGGTTTGAGAAATGTAATGAAGGGTCTTGGACACTCTAATAAACAAATTAGATCTCTTATAAATGAGACAAAGACATGCTGAATCCCTGAATATGCAAGGGAATAATAATGTGGCCTGATTCATAGTTTATAAACACAAATCTGATTGTCAGTGTGGAGGACGGTTTTGAAAAGTTAAGAACATGTCTATTACTGATGCTTTCAAGCCTAATCTCTCACAAAATGAACCAAAAGTTGTTTGTAGAACATGAGTATGTGTGTGTTCACTTTAATAGTTAGCATTAATATTATAGAGAACAAGAACACACAAAATAAGGGGAGAAATACTACCAGGATTATGACACACTGAGTTCTGAACTTTCTGGTAGCCAGGACAAAAAGAGAAAGCCTGTATAATGGTTATTCAGGAAAAAAAATATTTTCCTTTTTGAAAATGAAAAGTTTCTTAGCATGGACTTGCTTATAAGTGACCTAAAAGAGTGACATTAACCAACATAAACAAAAACGCTCTTGAGAGTAATTGTACAGTCACACTTTGTGCAGTATGCTTTAGGAAGACAGATTGCATTGAAAATGTCCAATAGGTAGAACTACTAAAGTCCAATAGGTGGAAATAATTGTAATTGATGAGATCTCCAGGGATGACGTGCACAGCATGGGCCACAAACTCAAATGCCTCTAATGACCAGGTAGATACAAGAGGTAAGCAAGCTGGCATGATTATGTCAGCGTAATGAGGATAAATGGCATCTGACACAGGCTCCGTGATGGGGAGATGAAGACAGTGGTAGAAACAATTTAAAAAAAAAACAAAAAAAAAACAGTTGTTCCTCACATGGTTCTCCTGTGAAAATAAAAACCTTAGATCTTTAGAAGATCTGATTTTCAAAGGAAGTAAGAAATCTAAGTTTCTACTTAAAATCTCCTTTAAGCATTGGCAACTATTTGTCAGTTTTGTTTGTCAACATTGAATGGGTCCAGGGGCCGCGAGGAAGCCTATGAGCCTTCATTATGAGACCTCTAATGTAGAGCAGCAAGAAAAGAACCAAAGAAAGAGGAGCCCTACTTTGCTTACCAAAGCAGTCCTAGTCTAATTGATAGTTTCTACACAGTTGGCTAATACGATGATTGTGCCAGTGAAACACTCTAAAACTGGCAGTGATAATATGAAAATGCTTATTTAAATGCAGGCTTAAATATAAACTCTTTGAATCTGCCAAAAGGAGATCGATGAGGAGTTTGACGTATCTTTTTCTCATCTTGCCTCCTGCCTATGTTTAGAATCATCACCATCACAACAACAAAATCAACAACAGATGAGTTCCAGCAGAAGCTTGAATATTAATTTGCACTACTGCCGAACTAAATCATCAAGTCATAGGAGAGGAAAATGCAATAATTAAACAGAAATGTTATATCTTTTTTATGTTGTGGTTGTTTTTGAAATGAAAGCACCATCTGTGGTGTACTTATTATCTTAACAGTAGCAGCAGAACTCCTCTTCTGAGGGAAATGCCTTTGTTTAGGAAAATACCCTGATGGGCCATTTGCATGTACAAAGAGAGAGTTCTGGTTTCAGGATGAAAGGAGCTCTCTTTCCATAACTCATGACGAATGAATAACTCAGATAATTTGGCAAAACCAAAACCTCAGAATTGAAAGTGGCCTTGAGAATCTAACCCAGTGGTCTGGCAAACTGGCTCTCAGGCAAACCACAACTTCCATTTGTTTTTGTAAATAAGATTTCTTTGGAAATCGGGCACTTTCATTTGTTTACATATTGTCTGTGTCTGCATTTACACTACAAATTTCAGAGCTGAGTGGTCAAGAAGGTCTTATGGCTCACAAAACCTAAAATGTTTACTATATGGCCCTTTGCCAAAAGTTTGCCAATCCTGATCTAAGGTAAAATTTGAGGACTTCCCAACCTAGGTAATTGAGGGAAGAGTTATTAACCTCAAATTCCTAAGGAGCTAAGTATTCCTGAGTTAAACTTGGATTGTACCTATTTTCACATATACAAACATATACGACTTGAAGAAGCAGCTTCACCAGCATTTCATCCTTGGAAAAGTCTTTATGTTCTGTTATGAGACTGGGTTTCCATTGGGAATTAGCCCACCAATTCCACGTAATTACTGTCACCTTGGTGTTATCTAAGACTAAATGAAAATTATGTTTTTGTGAATGTCTTCAAGTTTGCCCACCAACATAATTTAAGGGAAAACTATAAAATGTGCATTCTGAACACATTTACAATATTTTTTTAGAGTGCTAGACAATTCCAAACTAAATTAAAAAGAGAAATATTAGACACACGGTAACAAACAGTATATGATAACTACACGATAAATAATAGCTACTAATATTTTGCTAACCTCTATATTCCAGAGTCATCCAAAAATTCAGTCCCCTCTCATTAACAGCTCAATAGCGATCCTTATCCTGGACTCCTTAGAAAAATTGTAAATTAAAGGGTTTTTTGGCAGTAAAGTTAAAGACAACTTTAAGCCTCAGAGGTGGCTTAAACTTAAAAAAGGAGGAGGTCTCAAAGTCCAAGTACTTTGAGTATAACATTAAATAGCAAAGGTTTCTTACAAATATCAAACAAGAGAGGTGAAAAATAATTTGTGAACTATAGATTAAGTTGTAATCTGTAATTAAATCTACAATTCTAAACTGAGCTTGAAAATGCAACTCAGACGTCGATTGTCGTCATGAACAAGGCGGTTATTTAATTATTCTTAATAGATTTCAACTTAACTGGACATACCTTTGGATGGGAATTCCAATGTTCAGATCCACTTAATCTGAATTCTCAATTTTTTTCCCCTTTCCTATCTTTTGAGGATTTTGTCTCTAGTTTATCCTAAGGTCAGCAGAGATTTATCCCAATCTCTTTCATCTTTTACAGTTCTAAAATCAATTGTATTCTTTAATGCTACTCTTCTGACATTACCCATTTCTTTAAAAAAAAAATGCAGAGCACTCTTAAGATTACTTATAAAAAAAAGAATACTGCGACCTTTTAGAAAGAGTTTTGCAGTCCTGAAGTTGAAACAAAATATTTGAAGTTCACACTCAAAAGCAGAAAATTAAGTTGACTAATGTAGTTTATTTATATAAAGTTGTATATAATCAAATATTTATAATATTGGGCTGTGACTAATGGCCACAGAAGAAAAAAAATCAGTAAGTTGGTTGTGTGTGTAATAATTATTACGCACGAGTTTAAGAGACAACTTTTATCCTGATTACAGGACCCAGGGAATTTGAGTATATTTCTACTAACAAAGCAGTCTCGACAGCAACTTATATTTATAGGGCTAAATGCTGTTTCTTCGTAGTTTCCAGGGAAACAAAATTGTAAATTAAAGGGTTTTTTGCCAGTAAAAATATTTCTCAACATTTAGAGATTAATGCATCATTAGATACAATCAATTATATATTAAATAATATGTTACTTTGATTTATTATATATTACATTTTATAACATTTATTTTAATAATGAAATATCAAATGATTAATATTTCACTTATTCAATATAAATATGTATTATATATTTAAAATATGTATTATATATACATGTACTAATTTTTAAATATACATAGGGAGCTGTCTCTGTGTGTGTGTGTGTGTGCGCATGTGTGCACATGTGCATGTACACTTAAAATGTGGTATTCAGGGACCAGTAGCAACTTCATCACCTGGAAGTTTGTTAGAAATGCAGAATCCCAGGCCCACGTCAGATCCACAGAATCAAAATCTGCATTTTTAACAAGGTCTCAGGTGACCGTATACACATTAAAGATTGGGATGCATTGGCATATATTCTCATTACTACATAGTACAAATTAATTAATGATCAAAACATTTTAAGAAACACAAATTAAATTGACATTACTCATAAGTTTACTACCATTTCATAACATAAGTACAAAATTTATAAAAGCAAGAAAATTGAAAGAAAAATCTGCGGTATTTACAGTATGTCTACAAGTAAGACATTTTAAGATTATAAATAAAAATATGTCCCAACTGGTTCTATAATGTAAAATCTTTTTCTCTGGAATATAGACATGTATAAACTCCTAAAATAATAATCCTTGTAAGTTGAACAGATGGTACTAGTGCTATAAATATTAGCCAAAAATTCACAAAATAAATACACTCAAGAAAGTATTGAGACAACCATATATCATTTTACACATTTATCAGTGTTAACTCTGATTGCCTCAATCAATAATAATGATGTTAATAACTACAGTTAACATTTAAATTATGCATATTCCTGTACTGAGCACTGCTCTAAACACTACACAATCAACTAATTTAAACCTCACTATAATCCTATGGGATGACACTATTATTATCCCCATTTTAGAAATAAAAACACCAAGGCACAGAAGGTTTAAGTAACTTGCCCAGTTATATTACTTTCATCAAGATAAATGTAATTATTTAACAATCGCTATGCATTTATCATATGGTTAAACTGAGGGAATTTACTTTGTAAGATACATGATCAATTGCAAAAATGGTCCTAATTCTTCATCCTCCTCATCCTAACCAATGACCTTTGCCATGTAATTTGCAGCATTCTCTCACTGAGAACAAAGACAACGCACCATGGCACGTGTATACCTATATAACACACTGTACGTTCTGCATATGTATCCCATAACTTAAAGTATAATAATAATAAAGAAAGTAGAGGCTTCACAAGTGCTTGTGCAGCTGGGTTTGCCCTCTCTCTGGGCCTCCCCACTGTCCTGAGGACCTGCCTGGGCTACCCTGGCTGGAGGAGAGAGATGGGCACAGAGCCAGGTAGATTCAGTGAAAACTAACCTATTCACAAAGGTGATCAAGTCCTGCCAAGGTCTACAGAGCTACCTATGCAAGCCCCACTTAGTCTTAGTTTCACAAGTAATGTACATACACTTACTGTTTTATACCAGGTTTTGTGGTGGTTCATTATACAGTATCACTAAGGCAATTGATAACTGATACAGATATTACCAGTTTCACTGAATCACCCATTCAACTAAACACAGAAAATATGTATTTTATACTGCTGATTTTTATCTACCTCTATACCTACAGATTAAAATATATAGAGATAAAAGCAGCAAGGAATTATATAACCTATCACCCTAGCAGAGGTGACACATCTCTAAGAAGCAAGAAATACAATTAAAGGGAGCAAAAAGGTAAAGAAAAACAAGCAGATTTCTAAAAGTTTTTTTAAAAGTACCAAAAAATTTACGGGCTCTCACAATGAATCTTTCCTCCTCTTCATGCAACCTGTATCCACCTTTTCAGCCTCACTCATCAATTAAGGAAACAGTGAACAAAATAGAAATTGGGTTGGCTTTTCTGGATTGCCAATTATCCCCCTAGAAAAACAAAGCTCAATGTTGTTATAAACTCCCTAGAAAAGGCTAGAATGGGATGAGGGTATCAGAGCGGGTGGTGCTATGAGTACAAATTGAGCTCTAAGATCAAATGTGTTTTGTCACACATCAGCTACTCACAGGTACACTTCTCAGACCTGTGTAGGGTAATAGACTAACTGTATAGAACATTGCCTAATAGAAACATGTAACACTGATATTGCTTTACATGAGTGAAATAAAACTCGATGTATGCAACAAAATCAAGAGAAAGGGGTGCCATGAGTTTTTTTACACATTTCTGGATTATTCGAGTAAATAATGTCACCAGAAAAAAAAGTACACAGTAATATGCAAAACGTTTCTTGGTTTGGCAAATACTTAGGCATCAAAGTAGAGATTAGTGATGTCTCAAAAGCAGATGGTCAGCTTTGCCTCATCCTCCATTTGAAGGACATTTCAGACTTAGTGGTTCATACTTTTGTTATAACACAAATATCATATTAAGCCAAATATATATGTATGTGTGTATATTGTTATGTGTGTATATATATGTGTGTATATATACATAACCACATCAAAGAACATTTGAATACTTTACAAACAGGTTTATCTTATTCAAAAGAAAAATAGTAAAATATACACTCTCCATAGTAGAACTACCTAAAGTATGATCCAGGAATGAGTGCCTGTCTACAAGTTTTATTTCCCCTCTGCAATAAAGCAAGTACAGAAATGTGTGAAAACATTTATAAACCGCTATAGAAATTTAACAGTGTTTTTAAAAATATTTTTTGAATATAACAATAAAATCTCTGGGCTTGTATTTTATTTTTACATTTCCTATTAATTGGATTTTATTGTATTTTATGTATTTATCTTTTTAGTATCTATGGTATTTTATGTATTTATCTTTTTAGAAAAGATTGGCAATTTTAAAAAGTTCTCTCCTTCACCACATGTAGTCTGAGGGCCACTGCTCTATTATGCACAGGTTTGGATATGAATGTACATATAATTAAAGAAGAG